GATATTGCCTTTGTTTACGTGTGAGGGGCTGAAGTGTTTAACCCAAGCTCACCTTCCCTCCCTGCCTCCCTCCTTCGCGACCTTTTTCCCTTTCTCCCTGCTTCCCTTTCTCCCTGCTTATCCTTTCTCCTTGTTTCCCGTTCTCCCTCCTTCCCGTTCTCACTCCTTCCTTCCCTACCTACCCCCTTCCTCCGTCATTCACTGCTTCCCTTCTTCACCCTTTCTCCCTCCCTCCTTTTCATCCTTCCTTTCTCCATCCCTCCTAACCTCACTCCCTATCCCTTCCCATCTCTCCCTCCCTTATTATTAATTGTCCACCCAAGACACAAACAATTTGTTAAAAAACATACCACATAAAAACTCCAACACAAACTATCAAAAAATCGTGAAAAAAGTTATTGGAAAAAAGTCTGTATCACAATTGGCTAGGAGTTAGAAGGACGCTTAACCTGCAGCTCAGTACAGATATACGAGGCAATTACGGCCGTGACCATTAGTAACAAAATGTGACACATGGCTAGCCAATAGTAAAATGGCTATTCAATATTTTAGGTGGTGGAGCGTGACTCTCTCTCTATTACGGAAGGCAGGTGGTGTGTGTGTGCGTGTGTGAAAGTGGTGTGTGTGTCAAGATGGTGTGCGTGTATGAAGGTAGTATGTGTTTGGGGAGGGAGGGGATCTCAGGTGGTAGCAGGTGGCAGTGGTGTGGACGGTGTAACAGCTTTGTCCCAAATTGACTGACGAGATCATGGTGATGATCAGAGAGTTGAGAGAGCCAGTATATTGAGAGCAACTGATAGGTGCTGTAAGTCGGGGAGAGAACAGTCGTGTACACCATCTTACTAACACTCACTAGGAATCCTCGTTATGTAGCAATTAAGAAAGAAGACCAGGAAGGGGAAGCACAGGTGAGCTTAGGAAGTATGAATGTTGTGTAAAAATGCATGAGCTAAGACGCAGGAACTCCATGGGACTTGATACGACGGGGGATGTGGAGACGATAGCCGAGAGACTTGAGGGTTGTACAGACGTGTACTTTCCAGGTCAGTTTGTTATCTATAGTGACGCCGGGAGGATAGGTGGAAACCACCACCTGGAGTGTGTTGAGCCCTAGTGTGGGAGGTTAACGATAATGTGACGTAGTTGGCGGTGAACCAATCTTGGAATTTTGTTCAGTCGTCGACATATTTCCAACGAAAGAAAAGTAACTTTCAGGGCATCTTTGATGAGGACGAGGAAGAAGAGCGGTGAATAACTGAAAGGTGGAGACAGCCCCTCGGAAGTGTAAAGCTTATCGTTGGCCACTAAGGAAATCTATTAACCATAAATGTTAGACGTCTCCGAAACCCAAGGTAGGTGTGTGCGTGTGAAGAAAGTATCTTACACTGTGGGCGCTACAAAGGTTGATCAATTGACCAGGCAGATAGATGGATAGACTGAGTAACAGACTGACCAGATGGATGGAAAAGATAAAATTCACAGGTATATGGGAGTATTTACGTGTTTATGATGCTGGGGCTTCATCCACCTGGACGCTAACTAGAGGCGGCGCCTTTATCTGAGAGGCCATTAGCGTCAAGCCGATTAGCAATTATGTCACAGAGAGTAATTAACGTCATTATTATCCTCGTAAAGGTAATGAGGGGGTTAACTATGCATCTATCCTGCCCGGGTTGACGGCATGGGTGATAAGCACCAGGAAATAAGCACCTGGCAGCTTTGTCGACTATCCTTGGTCAAGTTACTTTACTGTTTGCCATTGTTGTCTACCTGTAGTCTCTTGGCACACAGTATACCCTCGCGGCCTACCTGCACCCTATACCTACATTGTCTATATTCATGCTGAACTGTACTGTATAACTGCATAGTTGACAAACATGTTCATCCAATTGTAAACCTGTATGACAACTTTACTGAAAAATATTATTATTATTATTATTATTATTATTATTATTATTATTATTATTATTATTATTATTATTACTGAGGGGGTTGAGGGAATTGGAGTGGACTGATGGAGGGAATTGATGGAGTAAATTGATAAGGTTGATTGATGGAGTGGACGGATGAAGTTTTTTTGTTGGAGTGAATTGATGGAGTGGACTGATGGAGTAGATTGATGGAGTAGATTGGTGGGGGTTGATTGATGGAATGGATGGATGGAGTATATTGTTAGTGGCTTGATAGAGTAGATTGATGGGGTTAATTGATGGAGTGGATTGATGAGGTAGATTGCTAGGCTCGATTGGTGGAATGGATTGGTGGAGTTGGACTGATGTAGTAGATTGGTCGGGTAGATTGATGGAGTGGATTGGAAGGATTAATGATGCTGATTGATGGAGTAGAATGATGGAGTGGTATGCAAAGAGGCAGCGTGACCGGCACTGCACTTATCTGCCTTCATTTCCCAAACTGTAAAATTAAGTACCGACATACAGCTGGTTGGAGAAGGAGTACCCTGGGATCGAACCAGCGACCCTTAGGACGGAAGGCAAGCGCTGTATCCACTCAGCCACAGCATCGTAACTCGAGCTCAGTACGGGAAGATAATTAATTTTGTGACTGTAAAAAGAGATGATTAAATGAAATGAACGTGTAAGTCACTTTACATTAATATTCAACTTGTATTCCTTGAAGTAAAAGAAAAAAAAACTCGTAGGAAACGCATCAAATTAAGTACATTACTTGTTGAATCACGTAAATGTGTCTTAAGAAAAAAATCGACGTTTGAATTAATTAACCTAACGTTCTCTTTCGGGATTAGGTTAGGTTAGGTTAGCAGCGCCACTTTAACAGTCAACAGTGCCATTATAAGCAAACAACAGCGCCTATACACACCTCTCCTCCTCCTCCTCCTCCTCCGTGCATTAGCCTACTCTCTCACATAACCATTACTCTCCATTCTTCCATCCTGTTCCATTCACTATCACTTCTCTATCCTACTCGTCCCCCACACCCCCCTCTCCCATAGCACTACTTTCCTATACCCCCCTCTCCCATATCACCACTCTCCCACACCATCCTCTCCCATATCACCACTCTCCCACACCATCCTCTCCCATAGCACCACTCTCCCACACCCTCCCCCCATGTATTCCAATGACTACCGACTCTCCCTTCACCTCCCCTCACTCATCACGCACGACCCTTCCCTTGGCGATCCGAGCATCATTTCCTTACTCCCTATCCACTCCCTCTCTCTCCTCTACATTCCTCCCTCCCACCATCCCTCTCCCTTCAATACTCCATACTCCCTCCCTACCTTCCCCTCCCCCTACAACACCCCAACCATCATTACCCCTTTCCCTTGTCTTCTCCAGCCTACTTCCCTCCCTCCCTCAGAATGCATTGTGTCCTCCACTCCCGTCTGCTGCTCCCCCAGGACGTCGGGTATTGTTGGGTAGAATACCTTCACGACGGGGGGACAGACGCCCTTATGTTTTGACTGTGTATAGTGACTGAGGCAGCTGCTGGGCCTGTCCTGATCACCGGCTGACTCACTCGTCTATTATATATATATATATATATATATATATATATATATATATATATATATATATATATATATATATATATATATATATATATATATATATATATATATATATATATATATATATATATATATAACAAACACGCACACAGTACACGTTTCCAGGCAAGTACACATACACACACCTGCGCACGCACACGTACTCATCACAGGTTTACCTGATGCGCCGTTATGAAAGGCATTTTAAGTATTCAATAAGCAAGTTTTTGAAGTCAGGCGGGGATATAATGTCATGAACTACAACGTAAATCTTTGATGTTAGTTAAACAGCATCCTCATGTCTCTCCGCGTTGATAGTTGTGTCAGTGTACAGGAGCTCTAACAGGCAGAGACTGGGGTATGACAGGCGTGGACTGTTAATTGTTGTGTCAGATTACAAAAGCTATGACAGGTGAGAACTCTCTGTTGAAGGTAAGATCAGAGAGCTATGATAAACGGGAACTGAGCTATGACAAGTGGGGATTCTCTGTTAGTTGGTGTGTCAGAGATCTATGACAGGTGCGGGGACTGAGTTATGACGGGCGGGAGGACTGAGCTATGACAGGTGCGGGGGCTAAGCTATGACAAGCGGGGACTCTGTTGACGGTCGTGTCATATTCCACACTTATTATTTCTCTTTATTCTTTAGTAATTACTCTTGTTGCTGTATTATTGGTCTTTCTTTCTCTCCTATTCATACTTTTATTCTTTGTTCTAGTTTTGTCGTTAATAAACTTCACCTGTCTTTCATTTTTATTTATTCAGGTTTTTTCTGCAGTCCCTTTCTTTTTTGTTTACCTTTGGTATTTACTCTTTTCGCAATGTTAATCATCATCGTCTCTTTCTTTGCTTTCTTCTTTTCTCATCTTACTTTATTGTTAAATTTCTATGGATTCGTCTTATAAATTCTTTTTTCTTCTTTCTCTTCCTCTTTCCTCTTGGTTTTCTTCTTATTCTCCTTCTTTCCTTTATCTCGTATCTTATTTCCATTTTATGTTTCTAAATGTCTTGCTTCTCTTGTTGAATATAATAGTTGTGAGTACAAGCGCTTGGTAGGGTATTACAGTGGTAGGAACAAGAGTACAGGATACAGGAGTCACAGGTACAAGGGCAGTGAATTAATTTTGACCTCTATAAGTCAAGTGGGTCTTTAGTTCAGTCTCTAAACACAAAGACAACTTCAAATAGTAGGTGTATTTGTCATCCCGTTTTCTGCTGTTTTGCTGCCTCATTCATTTTACAGAATACACATGACGTTAATTACAGCACATCAATTCAGTTATTTTCTGCGGTAATAACAGCAACAGTTGGTGTATTAAAATGGCAGTAACGCTCATAACATCCCCCATAGTTCCAAATCAAATGGGCTCTCTCTCACATATTGCAACCCTCCATCACCACACACACACACACACACACACACACACACCACTGTCAGCAACACCAACGTCAGCAACACCACCGTCAGGAACACCACCGTCAGCAACATCACCGTCAGCAACACCAACGTTAGCAACATCACCGTCAGCGACACCACCGTTAGGAACATCACCGTCAGCAACACCACCGACAGCAACACCACCGTCAGCAACACCACCGTCAGCAACACCACCGTCAGCAACACCACCGTCAGCAACACCACCGTCAGCAATCCACCGTCAGCAATTCCAAAGTCAGCAACACCACCATCACCCTAGACTAATATGCGTCCACACGTGTGTACATTTTGTCGCCAAAATGTGATCAACAAGACGAAATGAGGCACAGGGTTCCGACTCATGGTAGGGAGCAGCCGCGTGCACGAGACAGTGTACAGTACAGTAGATCGATGTTTCCTCTTGTTGATCACATGTTGGCGACAAAATGTACACACGTGTGGACGGACCTTAAGATTAAGATATAAGTACCTCTGGCAGTATATCCTTCATGCAGATGTGAACAAGACTAAATGTAAAGTGTGTGGTCAAACATATGGCCACACACTCGAGCACTACTGTACGTCCTCGACTGTGTGAAGATCGAACCTTTTAGGGACAGGACCAAGCACACTGTGTGTGAAATGGCGCAACACTTTATCTCTAATGGCAATATAGTTGACATAATAAGATTGTAACCACTTTTTTTGCACTCAGTAATTATATCATTTTCCATGTATAGAACCAAACACGCAATGTGGGTGAATACCTCTCACGCAAATGTGAATAACAAAGTGTGCGGCCAGACATATTGCCTCACACTCCTGTACTCCCGCAGTTGCGAATAAGTACAGAACGAAAGAAAGAATTTATTTGAAATTTTATACAACATTCAATGCCATAATATCCTGACCACTGGGGTTAGTTATAGAGACCCTGTGTAATCTCTTTGCGCTACCGCTCACAGGATGAGTATAGGGTGCACAATAAACTAGCCGCTGTACGTAAAAAATTAATTAAATAAATCAAACCGTCAGCAACATCACCGTCAGCAACATCACCGTCAGCAACATCACCGCCAACAATACCACCGTCAGCAACGCTATCATCACCACCAGGGTTGCTGACGTGTGTTGATGGTGTGAACATGACGGCGCGTATCTTTACCTGCCAACAAACCTTCCTTCCTTCCTTCCTTCCTTCCTTCCCAGGGTTCTCCCGAGGATGTAAGAACCGTATTGATCTAACTCACCCTAACGGTAACCCCCAACAGGAGTATGTATATTGTATAATCACCCTTGATCTAACAGACACCAACAGTAACCCCCAACAGGAGTATGCATAATCACCCTTGATCTAACAGACACCAACAGTAACCCCCAACAGGAGTATGCATAATCACCCTTGATCTAACAGACACCAACAGTAACCCCCAACAGGAGTATGCATAATCACCCTTGATCTAACAGACACCAACAGTAACCCCCAACAGGAGTATGTATAATCACCCTTGATCTAACAGACACCAACAGTAACCCCCAACAGGAGTATGTATAATCACCCTTGATCTAACAGGCACCAACAGCAACCCCCAACAGGAGTATGTATAATCACCCTTGATCTAACAGACACCAACAGTAACCCTCAACAGGAGTATGTATTCAACCAGACTTTCATCTACCCAACAAACTTAGGTGAGTACAGGAGAAAGACTCAGCTTCCCTTTGAATCTGAATAGAAAACAAGTGACATTTTCTGACTTTTTTTTTTACATTCATTCATGCAGACTAGTACAGTAAACAACATGACAGACACCAGCCAATGACGAACTTAACCTTAGTAAACAAGGTCATCTATACAACTGTTGGTTCTCAGTGGTAGCTAACAAGTTGGCATTATTCTCATTGGCTGGGACGTATAGCGAGCAGGTAAACATGATTTGAATATAATAGTGATTGACAGCAGATGCAGGTAAAGTCATTCTTAGCTTGATTTCAATAATATATTCACATTATTAATGGCTTACACTTACAGCTTCAAGGTATATATGCGGGTGACACAGGTTTTAGGAATATTCTTTTTTTTTGTTTTTTTTTTGAAGTGGTGTATAGTTTGATGAGAGTTCACTTTAAAGAATTATCTAGAGTTTATGATAAGTAATGTATACAAAGATATACTGTACTATGCAATGCTCCGGGTGACCTTATAGCTTAAATATGAATAACAGTGGAATAATCTGATCTGATATTCAAAAGAACAAGAATTTAATTTTTTTGTCATTTTTTTCGCAATCCTTCATATTTTTCCTTTAATTTATTCTCTCGGTTTCAACATCTGTTTCGTCATAATCATTTCGTAAAATACAGTTTGCAAAGATTAAATTGTTCAGTCATACAAAATAACAAACTTTATCTTAGGATCAAATCGCACAAAGTGCTTTCATAATGTTTACTCAAAAAATATGAAATGAAAATCAGTTAAATTTATGTTGCAATGCGAGTTTTGGTCTGGGACTGACTGGCTAACACCTTTGAGTTATGAAAAGTGAAATGAAAACTGGTCCCATATGTCTGAGGTCCCGTGAAAAACAATGTAAATGCACTACACAGTATACTAAGCCGTCCTAGATCAAGTGTGAGCAATCATTACTTTGACGTTTCAGAATATAATTTTTTTTTTTTACCACAGTGACATTATTGTGTAACTTTTAAACCAGAGAATGTTTTAATTGTTTAACCTTTGTGGAGATCTATTCGGCTATATTTTTTTATCATTTTAAAGATGATAATATGTTATAATTCACAAGGTATTAAACTATCGTTCTTAGAGTGTTAATACAGAGACCATATCCGAAATTCGTTCCAGTTAGTTTACACAATTTGTTATGGATCATCATGATCACCTACAGGTATATGACTCTCAGGTGTGTTGTACAGTACATGATCTTTCTCTTTGATTATATATTTTGAAGAAAGTAATTGTATTGCTCACATAATATACTACAATATCAACGCCTCTTAATATTTATCTTCAGTATATACTTCTATTTTATTTCATCTTTCTCTCTCCCTTCCTCTTTTATTCTATTCGATTTCTATTAAGTTTCCATTATGTCACATCGCAGTATGACCAGGGTAAAGTGCCACCCCACAGATGGCATCACACCGCAGTGTGACCAGAGTAGAATGCCGTCCTATAAAGTTAAGGGTCATACAGCCTCTCCCAACAGATGAACATCACAATTCGGTACAAAAATGACGATAGTTTTCAAATATAATTGCAGTGAGCACTGAAACATAGCCCGGCCGTGATGCGTTTCATTTAATGTTAATGAGAAATTTTATAGCAATTAATAGATTAATTTCCTGTAACAACATTAGTGAAACCGAACTTACCGGACGAAATTTAATTAATTTCATATGAACGGTAACGTAAGGGTATCAACATTGTGCTGGCGTTCTGAACTTAACTATTGGATTAATATATATATTTATATATACATACACACACATATTATATATATATATATATATATATATATATATATATATATATATATATATATATATATATATATATATATATATATATATATAAAAGCTCTAGTCTATGAGGGTCGGAAGGATAGCCGTCGAAAATTCAGGTTGGTATTTCAATATAGGCAAAATGGTAATAAAAATTAATGGATATTATTTGATTATGAATCCATATTGCCAGCGTATTGGCACAGTGTCAACATCAGAGCTTTTTGTCAAAATATTTTCCACTGAAAATTTGGGGTTTTATTATTGCATTGGCCTATTTTTAATTATGTGTTTCCCCAGGGAGCAGACAACAGCGGCAACGTCATTAGGCTGTGTGCAGGCCGGTGTAGATGGGATTACTTCTACTGCGGGCCGCTGATGTGCTCGTGCTGTGGCCCCTTGCTGTGGTACTGTGTTTTGGAGGGTTCCTGGCCTATCTGTGGTGTTTTGTGTTGCTGTGTTCTATTGTGGTGTTGTATTCTGTTGTGTTGCCGTGCTCTGTTGTATTGCTGTGTTCTGTTGTGTTGTTCTGTTGTGTTGTTCTGTTGTGTTGCTGTGTTCTGTTGTGTTGTTCTGTTGTGTTGCTGTGTTCTGTTGTGTTGCTGTGTTGTGTTACTGTGTTCTGTTGTATTGCTGTGTTCTGTTGTGTTGCTGTGTTTTGTTGTGTTGCTGTGCTCTGTTGTATTGCTGTGTTGTGTTGTTGTGTTCTGTTGTGCTGCTGTGTTCTGTTGTGTTGCTGTGTTGTGTTGCTGTGTTCTGTTGTGTGTGCTGTTGTGTTGCTGTGTTCTGTTGTGTTGCTGTGCTTTGTTGTGTTGCTGTGCTGGTATTGCTGTGTTCTGTTGTGTTGCTGTGTTCTGTTGTGGTATGTTCTGTTGTATTTGTTCTGTTGTGCTGTGTTCTTGTGTTGTTGTGTTCTGTGTTGCTGTGTTCTGTTGTGTTGCTGTGCTTTGTTGTATTTGCTGTGCTTTGTTGTGTGCTGTGTGTTCTGTTGTTGTTTGTTCTGTTATTTATTGTTGTATGTTCTGTTGTGTTGTTGTGTTCTGTTGTGCTGCTTTGTTCTGTTGTGTTGCTGTATTTGTGTTGTTGTGCTCTGTCGTGTTGCTGTGTTCTGTTGTGTTGTTGTGTTCTGTTGTGTTGTTGTGTTCTGTTGTGTTGCTGTGTTCTGTTGTATTTGCTGTGTTCTGTTGTGTTGCTGTGTTCTGTTGTGTTGCTGTGTTCTGTTGTGTTGCTGTGTTCTGTTGTGTTGCTGTGTTCTGTTGTGCTGTGTTCAGTTGTGTTGCTGTGTTCGGTTGTGTTGATGTGTTCGGTTGTGTTGATGTGTTCGGCTGTGTTGATGTGCTCGGTTGTGTTGATGTGCTCGGTTGTGTTGCTGTGTTCTGTTGCGTTGCTGTGTTCTGTTGCGTTGCTGTGTTCTGTTATGTTGCTGTGTTCTGCTATGTTGCTGTGTTCGGTTGTGTTGATGTGCTCGGTTGTGTTGCTGTGCTTTGTTGTGTTGCTGTGCTTTGTTGTATTGCTGTGTTCTGTTGTGTTGCTGTGTTCTGTTGTGTTGGTATGTTCTGTTGTGTTGTTGTGTTCTGTTGTGTTGTTGTGTTCTGTTGTGTTGCTGTGTTCTGTTGTGTTGCTGTGCTTTGTTGTGTTGCTGTGCTTTGTTGTATTGCTGTGTTCTGTTGTGTTGCTGTGTTCTGTTGTGTTGGTATGTTCTGTTGTGTTGTTGTGTTCTGTTGTGTGTGTGTGCTGTGTTCCCAGTTGTGTTGTTGTGTTCTGTGTTGTGTTGCTGTGTTCTGTTGTGGTGTGTGTGTTCTGTTGTGGTGTTGTGTGTGTTCTGCTGATGCTGTGTTCTGCTGTGTTGCTGTGTTCTGTTGTGTTGTTGTGTGTGTGTTCTGTTTGTGTGGTGTTGTGATCTGTGTGTAGTATTGTGTTCTGCTATATTTGCTGTGTGTTCTGTGTTGTAGTGTTGTGTGTTGTTCTGTTATGTATTTGTTTTGTGTGTTCTGTTGTGGTATTGTGTTCTGTTGTGGTGTTGTACTGCTATATTTGCTGTGTTCTATTGTGGTGTTGTGTTCTGTTGCTGTTGCTGTGTTCTGTTGTGGTATTGTGTTCTGTTGGTGTTGTTCTGCTATGTTGCTGTGTTTGTTGTGGTGTGTTGTGTTCTGTTATATTTGCTGTGTTCTATTTGTGGTATTGTGTGTTCTATATTTGTAGTGTTACATGTTCTGTTGTGTGTGTGTGTTCTGTTATATTTGCTGTATTTTCTGTTTGTAGTGTTGTGTTCTACTGCTATATTTACTGTGTGTTCTGTTGTAGTGTTATGTTCTGTTATATTGCTGTATTTCTATTTGTAGTGTTGTGATCCTGTTATATTGCCTTGTATTTCTGTTATTTGTGGTGTTGTGTTCTATTATATTTGCTGTATTTCTATTTAGCAATTGTTATGTTCTGTTATATTTGCTGTATATTCTGTTGTAGTGTTGTGTTCTATTTATGTTGCTGTATTTCTGTTGTAGTGTTGTGTTCTGTATGTTGCTGTATTTCTATTTGTGGTGTTGTGTTTTCTGCTATATTTTACTGTGTTCTATTTGTAGTGTTGTGTTCTGTTATGTTGCTGTGTTCTGTTGTGGTGTTGTGTTCTGCTATGATGCTGTGTTCTGTTGTGGTGTTGTGTTCTGTTGTGGTGTTGTTTTCTGCTATGATGCTGTGTTCTGTTATGTTGCTGTGTTCTGTTGTGGTGTTGTGTTCTGCTATGATGCTGTGTTCTGTTATGTTGCTGTGTTCTGTTGTGGTGTTGTGTTCTGTTGTGGTGTTGTGTTCTGTTGTGGTGTTGTGTTCTGTTGTGGTGTTGTTTTCTGCTATGATGCTGTGTTCTGTTATGTTGTTGTGTTCTGTTGTGGTGTTGTGTTCTGCTATGATGCTGTGTTCTGCTATGTTGCTGTGTTCTGTTGTGGTGTTGTGTTCCAGTGTTGTGTTCTGTTGTGTATTTTGTGTTTCTGCTATGTTGCTGTGTTCTGTTGTAGTGTTGTGTTCTGTTATGTTGCTGTATTGTGTTCTGTTATATGCTGTGTTCTGTAGTGTTGTGTTCTGTTATGTTGCTGTGTTCTGTTGTGGTGTGTTCTGTTATATTTGCTGTGTTCTGTTGTGGTGTTGTGTTCTGTTGATGTTGTGTTCTGTGTGTTCTGTTTCTGTTGGTGTTGTGTTCTGTTATGTTGTTGTGTTCTGTTGTGGTGTTGTGTTCTGCTGTATTTCTGTTGTGGTATTGTGTTCTGTTATGTTGCTGTGTTCTGTTGTGGTTCTGTTGTGTGTTGTGTTCTGTTATATTTGCTGTGTTCTGTTGTGTTGTTTGTGTTCTGCTGTGGTGTTGTGTTCTGTTGTGGTGTTGTGTTCTGCTATGTTGCTGTGTTCTGTTGTGGTGTTGTGTTCTGTTATGTTGCTGTGTTCTGTTGTGGTATTGTGTTCTGTTATGTTGCTGTGTTCTGTTGTGGTGTTGTGTTCTGTTGTGGTGTTGTGTTCTGTTGTGTTGTTGTGTTCTGTTGTGTTGTTGTGTTCTGTTGTGGTGTTGTGTTCTGTTGCGGTGTCGTGTTCTACTATGATGCTGTGTTCTGTTGTGGCTTTAGCGTTTGTAAAGTCGCGATAAAACAATAAAGTAACAAACACAAGAGAAAACAAATAATAAAACAAATGTAAACAACAAATACAGCAAAGAAAGGAAAAATAAAGAGAAAGTAACAAGGACAAGAAAACAAAAGCAAATACAGAAAGAAATAAAAGTTTAGCCAGATTGGTGTTTGTAAACTCGAAGGAAGAGAAAGTCGAAGGAAAAGAAAGTCGATGGGCATAACCATAACCTTCTCACCTGTCGTCGGGAATAAAGGCTCTCTCTCTCTCTCTCTCTCTCTCTCTCTCTCTCTCTCTCTCTCTCTCTCTCTCTTTGTCCGTCATGCTTAACTCCGTATTTCTGAGAATTCGTGGCGCCCTCAAGAAACTTATCTAATTACAATCGCTATCTCGTACTTTGTGGTACATTCTGGGAGTTGTTGCTAAACTTTCCCCTCCTTCCCTTCTTTCCGTCCCTCTCTTCTTTCCTTCTCTCCCCCCTCCCTTCTTTCCCTCTGTCCCTCCCTCCCTCCCTTCTTTCCCGCTGTTCTTCTCTCCATTCTTTCCCACTGAGTCCCTCCCTCCCTTCTTTCCCTTTGTCCCTTCCTCCCTTCTTTCCATCTGTCCACTCTCCCTTCCCTCCCGCCCACCCTTCCCTCCCTCCCGTCCTCCCTTCCTCCCTCCACCTCCTTCCTCTCCCATTCCCCTTAACTTCACCTTCTCCTTAACACACACCTCTCGTCCCTTCCCTCCCTTACCCCCTCCTTATCTTGTCTCTACCATGAACCATAGTCCTACTCTGTGCCTACCATGAACCATAGTCCCCCTACTCTGTGTCTACCATGAACCATAGTCCCCTACCATGTCTACCATGAACCATAGTCCCCTACTCTGTGTCTACCATGAACCATAGTCCCCTACTCTGTGTCTACCATGAACCATAGTCCCCTGCTCTGTGTCTACCATGAATCATAGTCCCCTGCTCTGTGTCTACCATGAACCATAGTCCCCTACTCTGTGTCTACCATGAACCACAGTCCCCTGCTCTGTGTCTACCATGAATCATAGTCCCCTACTCTGTGTCTACCATGAACCATAGTCCCCTACTCTGTGTCTACCAT